CGCCAGACCCCGAATGCGAAGTCCAGCGAATGGCGGATGTAGACCGCCTTGCACGCCCCATGTCCCCAGCTAGTGCCAGAGCGCAAGGACGTGGCCAGCGGGGTTGACCTCCGGCTTCGGCAGCAGCCCGGAGGAGCCGCCATTGACGTCACCGAAACTGCCTCCCCAGAGATCTCATGATGCTTTCCGCATTAGTATTCGTATGATTCGCCTTCTGGCCCTCTACTTCCGCACCCTTCTTGGCCTTCATACCCGTCAGCGCTGAAGGCTCTATGAAGTAGTCACTGATGTGGCCCCGCTCCAGCAGCCCCAGCTCCACCTCAATTTCCTCGGCGATGTTCGTGCCGCTGGGGGCCTCGACCTCCTCCCAAACATTCCTGGACTGGCCGTGCTTCGGGGCCTCCTCCAACTTCTTCGACCGATCCCACTTGATGAAGCGCAGCTAGGCCCCGAACTCCTCCTTCACTGGGTTGACCTTCTTCAGCTCCTCGCACCTCTGCCGGCAAAAGGCCCTTCGCGCAGCCCTCCCACAAGCGACTGACGGCCCCCGGCAGGGCCTGGCCCTCCGGGCCCTTCTTCGGCTGTGGCTTGGCGGCGGCTGCCCAACCGACAGGTCCCTCTTCGACTCCTGGCCACCAATGACGAAGTCCACCGATTTCGCCTTGAAGCCCTGCGCGAACTCCTGCAGCTTGGAGTCCAGCTGCAGCGACAGGCAGGAGGACCGAACGTGGGGGATCAGGTTCATAGCGCCACCGCCATGGTTCCATACCGCTGCGCCACTTCCAAGAGCGCGGCCCGCAAGTTCCGAGACCTGAAATTCGGCGATGGAATACGCAGGAGGTCACAACGCAAGGCCAGCGGGAACCAACACCGCAGTGTTGCGAGCCATAACTCATGATTGACGCGTCCACCCAAGTTCTCGCTAATAGACATGCGTTAAGGATTCCTCAGCGAGGCACATTTTAGTCATTCTTCTCGAACATTGAACTCTTTAGTAATGATTCGTTCAGAATGCTGCCTTAGGACGGGTTGTTGTAGTAAGGGCCCCGTCGGTCAGGAACTCACATGTAATAATGCAAGAATACCAGATGTCACAAGGGTTATATCGTACGGGTTGCTTCAACAAGGGCACCTTTGCGGAGGCTCTTTTGGAAGGCTCGTTTTACATTGAATAAGCATCCATTGGATACATCCACTGGCACAACTGATTGAAAAAAAAAACTCCAACCAGGGATTAGTTCAACTCTTTCAAACAAAATTCATCATGTAGGGAGTTCTTCAAGAACGAATATGTTCATACATGGCTTCTTTAGTAAGGAGGCCTTGGTGACCCACCCGTTCTCTTTCTAGACGTATAAGTAGACCAGTCGCGTGCAACACAAGCACACACACACAGAGAAAAAAACCAGAAAACACACACACTGCCCCAAACCAGATCTTTGGGTACTACTCATAACTATGGGTTGGTCAATACCGATTGCATCAAGAAGTGGCGCCACCTGGTTTGCACCACCTCGGTTACACCCCACGCGCCACAAGACTTTAACACCATAGGGCGCGCCACCTCGAGCGCACCTCGAAAAGGCAAGACACTCTGTGCGGGGTCCACGTTGGCAAACAGTTCGTCCGTTTGCATCCGCCGCCCTCCCCCCCCCCACCGACGCACCGAGCTCGAAAGCTCGCTCACTGCCTGCACCACGCAGCGCAGCGCAGAGCGGCCGGACGCCCGCTCCCCGTCGGGAGCGGCCCCTGCCGGCTGCCGGGGGACACTGCCTGGGCAGGCCGTGGGTGCCAAGACGTGCGAAGCGCATGACAGATGTGCTCGCGCCAGGCCCCCTCGATGTCAGGCCCCCCCCACGAAGAGCGTGCCAAACGTCAGCATGCCTGATGCCGAGCTCCGTGCCCCACCCCTCAACCCTGGCCCCCCGAGCGAGGCAGGGCGGACCCGCGCGGCAGCGCGACTGTCTACTCGCTGACGCCGTACAGCTCAGGGAGCCGCCGCGCGTTGCCTATCGGCGAGCTCAGCCGGACCACTCCGGCGTCTCCGGTGTGCCCAGAACTCCCCCGGCGCTCCTCGCTCCCCGGGGGCGGGGTGGCGGAGCATCCGAGATCTGGCCCCGGCTGTCCAAGCGGCTGCTGTTGCACGTGCCTTTGGACGACGTCGACCATGTACCGCACCACTTCGATGCACGATCCCGCGCGTGCGGACACGCGCGGCAGCGTGCATCAAGCTGGTCTGCTAACCCTTCGATCCGACGTTGCGAAAAAGTGCGGCACCGCGCAAAAGTCACAACAGGAGCCCCAGACCCCATCCTCCTGCGTCATCTTGCGAGCTGGATCGACCTGTGATGGTCCTGGGGCTCGAGACCGGGCGAAAGCGCCCGTTGTGCAAAAACAAAAAAAAAAAAAAGCAAAGCAACGCCTGGATCTCCGGGGGGAAACGGCTGGCGTCGTCGAGTGCCTGGTGAGCTGCCCCGCCTCCGCCGCAGGCCCGGCCGCGGCGGGCCGAGCCAGTGGCTGCTGCGCGTGCTTCGTGGGCAGCCCCGCCTCGGTCGGAGGCCCCGCCGCCGCCGGCCGTGCCTTCCCCGCGTCCCGGAACCTCCTGTCCAGCTCCAGGGCCTTCTCCTTCCAGGCTGCACGCAGGGGTGGCCCTGGTGTTGGGGAGGGACCGCCCGTCCCGGCACTCCTGTGGTCCTACCACGACGATGAAGTTCCTAGAGCCCCAAAATGTTCGAAGGACAAAAGCAGTGTTCTTAGAACATGAGCCCGATGTGTTTGAACAAGACAGACTGCGCCAGAAGTGCTCCCAGAACATTCGTGGAAACCACAGAAGGTTCTTGGAACACTGCTTGGCAGAGCTATAGGCGAGCCAGGACGCTTCGCCACTGCTTGGTGGTGGTGGGGAGGGAGCGACCTCGGGGGCGCGGCCTGTCGACCGCTGCGTGCGCTGCGGCGCAGCTGCCCGTGCGCCGTGGGCTCGCCCCGAGCTCCGACGTCGCAGAGGCTTGCAAAAAACACCGCGTCGCATCATGACAGGAGCCCTGTAAGCTCAGGTCGGGCATGTCCCCCGACAGGCGGACCTTGGCGGAAAAATCAAAGATAGCGAAACAAATGCTCAAACTAATCAAAAGTGCTCCAAGAATCATCCCCCGGCTAGTTTGTAAACTATGTTTGGATATTCCTCCTGCAGAGGGACAGACCCGACTTCACTATAGGCCCCATCCTTCTGCGGCAGCTCTCGCGCCAGATCGACGCGTGAGGGCCCGGGGCCCGAGGCAGGGCGAGGTCACCCGGCGCGAAGGCCCGTGCGACGCAAAGATCTCTCCGGGCGAGCCGCGAGCCCCCCCCCCCCGCTCAGAGCCCCGACGTCCTGATGTGTCTCACCACATGGACCCCTGGGACATCTCGACCCATTACCTCGGACCAGCGCTCCCTCCCGAGCCATTTGTCTCAAGGCGCTGGGGCCCAGCGAGGGCCCCCATACCTAGCCGCACATCGCAAGACACGGTCCGACGTGATTGCTGGTCACGGCGCGAGGGGGTCGGGGCCCAGCGCCCCCTGGACCCAAACCCCCGACGTCGTGATTATGCTCACAACGTCGACCTCCGGATGTCTGGACCCCTTCCCCGGGACCGGCGCTTCGTCCGGAGTCGTTCTGGTGACGGCCCTGGGGGCCCGGCCAGGGCCCCCATAGGGGAAGCCGAAGACAGAGGCAAGCCTCGCGCCGTGATTTTGCCACGCGAGGGGGCCTGGGCCTGGAGGCCGCGTCACCGAGACAACGCTCCTGCGAGAGGAAACTAGGAGGAGGAGGAGGAGGAGGAGGAGGAGGAGGAGGAGGAGGAGGAGAGGGAAGAGAAGGAGGAGGAGAGGGAAGAGAAGGAGGAGGAGGAGGAGGAGGAGGAGGAGGAGGAGCAGGAGTGACCCTGGGTAAGAGTGACCTTTGGTGCGCGGCTTCGGGGGGGCCGCGGGGAGGCCAAATCCAGGCGCGCAAGCCGCTGCTGCCGCTTCGCGTTCAGCCATCTGGGGGCCCACCTGTGCCCGCACCAAAGGTCTCTCCGGCGAAAGGTCACTCTTACGTCCAGTCTCAGGAGGGGGAAAAACACACAGACACAATTAGTCGGCGATTCCCAGAAAATATAAGAAAATATGGGCAGAAAATATGAGAAAATATGGGGGGATATTTTTATTTGTGTGTATTTATTTGTGTGTCCCAGTTCCCCTTCACAGTCGAGAGAGGGGGCCGCTCCCGCGCACAGGCTGGTCCTTCGAGCGGGCCCCTGGCGAGGCCGAGCGCGCCGGCGCGCCGTGGGCACGCGGCTGGGCGCCTGCCGCCCCCAGGCCCGCGGAGAGCGGCCGGATGCGGTCGCCGCCGAGCGCGCGCAGGCCACTCGCCGGATCGCGGCGGGCCTCCATCGGGGGGGGAGGAGGGGGGGGAGGAGGAGAAGAAGGAGGAGGAGAAGGAGGATGGAATGATGAGGAAGGAGGAGGAGGAAGGCGAAGGATGAGGCGGAGGAGGAGAAGAGAAGGAGAAGGAGAAGGAGAAGGAGAAGGAGAAGGAGAAAGAGAAGGAGAAGGAAAGAAGAGGAAGAAGGATAAGGAGATTAGAAGAGGAGAAGGAGAAGAGAAGTGAATGAAGAAAGGAAGAAGGAGAGGGAGAAGGAGAAGGAGCAGTAAAGGAGAAGGAGAAGGAGAAAGGAGAAAGAGAAGAGAGGGAAGAGAAGGAGAGGAGAAGGAGAAGGAGAGAGAAAGGAGGAGAGAAGATAATAGGAAAGGAGATGAGAATGAGGAGGAGGATGAGGAGGAGGAGGAGGAAGGGATGAGGGAGGAGTAGAGGGAAAGAAGGAGGAGGAGAGGAAGAGGAGGATGAGGAGAGGAGGAGGAGGGAGGAGGAGGAGGAGGAGGAGGAGGAGTGACCCTGGGTAAGAGTGACCCGTGGTGCGCGGTTTCTTGGGGGCCGTTGGGGGACCAACACACACAGGCGCGCAAGACGCTGCTACTGCGTCGCGCTCAGCGGTCTCTGGGGACCAAATTGCGCCCGCACCACAGGTTACTCCGGCGAAAGGTCACTCTTGCGTCGAGTCGGCTCCGAGGAGCGTGCCTCCGCCGCGGCGCCCGCAGCCGGCGCGGTGAGCGAGGCGGAGATGTGCCGCGGCACGGCGGTGGCCCCGGGAGGCGGCAGCGACTGGCAGCGCCGGGCGTCCCCGCCAGCGGCTGCGGCCCTGGCCCGCGCCACGGCGGCGGGCGCGGCGGGCGGCGCCCGCGCCGCCCACAGCGGCGCTGCACCCCCCGATGGCCTCGCCGTGGCCGGCGCCGTCGGGGAGCGCGCCACGCCAGAGCCCGCCGCTGGCCTCGCCGTGGCCGGCGAGGCCGCGAACTCCGCGGCGGGCCGCGGCACCGTCGGGGAGCGCGCCACGCCTGCCGCCAGCCTCGCTGGCCTCGGCGAGGCTGCGAACTCCGCGGCGGGCCGCGGCGCCGCCGGGGAGCGCGGCTGGGCAGCGAGCCGCGCGCCGTTCCACAGGCTGATGGAACCGCCCTGCCGCGCTGGGGACAGGGGCTGTGCGACCTGGGCGCAGGCGGGCGCGACGTGGGCGCTGCCATCCGCGGCCGCGTCCGCCGCCCCCCAGTGGAAGGGGCTGCCGCCGGCCTGTGGCTACATCCACACTTCCACAACGCATTGCACAAGTGAGCGCGGAGATTTTCTCTCGTCGGTCTTCCGCTGCCGCGTGAGCACTCGGCGGGCCCCAGGGCCGTTAAAAATGCTCCGGATGGAGGCATCACTGGGGAGAGGGTCGGGACCTCTCTGGGGACCCAGCAGTGCGAAAACAATGCGATGATCTTTGGGCCGAGCATGAATGACCTCTGACACGCGGCCGGCAGATCCCTGCACGCGACGCGGCCAGCCGATCACTGCACGCGACGCGGCAGCAGCTGCCCGCGCGCTTGGGCTTACCCTCCCTACCCCCCCGCCCCCCGCGCCCCCTGGACGCCACGCCGAATGGCCCGCTTTCCCAGACATCCGACGATGTGGGTTCTCCCATGGGCGGCTCCAGAGCGCGTTTCGCCCCGGAGCCGTTCCTGATGGCCCTGCATGGGGCCTGAAAACGAGCCCCAGGGGCCGAAATCGAAGGAAAACGCCCAGATATGACAAATCACAGCGTCGGAGACCTGGGCGGCCAGCAGGCACCCCGACCGCTGCTCCCAGGACTTCTGCCAGGGTGCGTCTTGACCAGAAATTTCGGGGCGAAGCCAGCCGTGGCGACGAGGGCCTCCAAGAAGGCCCCAGCAAGGCGAACACGAGTCAAGGGCAGTCGTGGTATTGGCACGCTTCTCTCCTCTAGAGGAACCAACCAAAAAAAAATCATAAATTGACACTGTCGCCGGTCTGCGCAGATTTCTTGGATCCGCGCTGGACACCCCCTCCCTGGCGAGCGGAGCGCGCCAGGGGCGGCGCCAGAGACGCCGCCAGAGGGGCCTGGGCGCCGATCCAAGAAGTCCGCGCGGACCTCCGAAAGTGTATGTTTATGCACTTGTTTCTCGTTCTCTTTCTCGATCCTCTGACTGCGAGGCTTGGGATTTATCCATCTCCACCGCCTGGGAACCGACGTCCTAGCGCCCCAGCGGGCGGTGGATATGGATACATTGTGGCCCCGGGGGTCCGACATATGTCCACATCCACCGCCTGTCAAGATCCCCGAAACTGATCCTCCAGGCGGTGGTCGTGCATCAATTCCCGCCTCGGATCTGGCTCTCTTGCGCGTGCAGCCCAGCGGCCTGCCGGGCTGGGGGGGAAGCCGCCGGGCGCGGCTGCGGCTGCTGCGGCCGCGGGAGGCCGCCCAGCTGCGCCGCGCCGCCCCACGGGGCGGCCACCAGCGGCAGCCCGGGGGCGGAGACGCGCGCCTCGTGGCGGACCTCCTCCTCCTCCTCCTCCTCCGCCTCCTCCTCCTCCTCCTCCTCCTCCTCCTCCTCCGCCTCCTCCTCATCCTCTTTAATCCCTCTTTATCCGCTGGGGATATCCTCCTCCTCCTCCTCCTCCTCCTCCTCCTCCTCCTCCTCCTCCTCTCCTCTCTCCATCCTCCTACGGCCTCCTCCTTCTCCTCCTCCTCCTCCTCCTCTTCCTCTCCTCCTCCTCCGCGCTCGTCTCCTCCCACCTCCGCTCCTTCGCCTTCTGGGTCAACCCTCCTTGCGCTAGGCGGTTGCAAGCGGCCGGTGAGGACGGGACCGCCAGTCGAAAAAAAAGAAAAAAAAGAAAAAAAAAAAAAAAAAAAAAAAAAAAAGAGAGAAAAAGAAAAAGAGAAAAAAAAAAAAAAAAAAAAAACAAGAGGACAGGGACCCAGTCAGAGCGTAGACCGCCTAATACGGGGAGCGCTGTAATTACCCAAACTACGGAACGCGCGGGTAGGGGCAGCCCGCCATTCTTCGACAGTGCGCCGGTCCAAGGGCCATTTCAAGCTGAGATTGGAGACACATTGGCCTCTTCTGGTGTTCGTAGTCGTCATCGTCCTCCTCCCCCTCCTGCTCCTCCTCCTCCTCCTCCCCCTCCTCCTCCTCCCCCTCCTCCTCCTCCTCCTCCCCTTCCCCCCGAAGCCCCTTCGAGACGCGCGCGCCTCGAGGCGGGCCACGGCCAGCTCCAGCACCCGCACGCGCCCCGCGAGCTGTGCCAGCGCGTCGTCCTGCGGGGCGCCGCCATGCGGCGCCATGGCCGGGCGGAAGCCCTCCGAGGGCGGCGGCGGCTACCGCCGTTCGGGGCGCACGACCCGATCTCCGAGAAGTGGGTTGTATTGTTATGTGCGTGTGTGTGTGTGTGATTGTGTGTGCGTGTGTGCGTGTCTGTTTCTGTGTCTGTGTCTTTGTATGTGTCTGTGTCCGTGCCTGTGCCTGCGTTTGTGTCTGTGTCTGTGTCTGTGTCTGTGCCTGTGCCTGGGTCTGTGTCTTTGTCTGTGTCTGTGTCTGTGTCTGTGTCCGTGTCTGTGCCTGTGTCCGTGTCTGTGTCTGTGCCTGTGCATGTGCCTGTGTCTGTGTTTGTGTCTGTGTCTGTGTCTGTGCGTGCGTGTGCGTGTGAGTGTGCGTGTGAGTGTGCGTGGGTGTGGGCGTGGGTGTGGGTGTGGGTGTGGGTGTGGGTGTGGGCGTGGGTGTGGGTGTGGGCGTGGGGGTGGCTGTGGCGGCGGCGGTGGCGGTGGCAGTGGCTGTGACGGTGTGTCTGTGTGGATGTGTGTGTGTTTGTGGGTGTGTGGGTGTGTGGGTGTGTGGGTGTGTGGGTGTGTGGGTGTGTGGGTGTGTGGGTGCGTGGGGGTGTGTGGGTGCGTGTTGGTGCGTGTGGGTGCGTGTGCGCGCGTGTGTGCGTGTGTGTGCGTGTGTGTGCGTGTGTGCGTCTGCGTGTGCGTGTGCGTGTGCGTGAACGTGTGCGTGTGCGTGTGCGTGTGCGTGTGCGTGTGCGAGAACGTGTGCGTGAGCGTGTGCGTGTTGCATGTGCGTTGTGCGTGTGCGTGTGCGTGTGCGTGTGCGCGTGCGTGTGTGTGCGTGTGCGTTGGGCGTGTCGTGTGCGTGTGCGTGTGTGTCGTGTGCGTTGTGCGAGTGCGTGTGTGTACGGTGGTGTGTTGTGTATGTTGCCGTGTTGGTGGCGTGGGCGTGTGCGTGTGCGCGTGCGTGAACGCATGCGTGCGTGCGAGTGGCGTGTTGCGTGTTGTGGCGTGTTGCGTGTGCGTGTGCGGTGACGACGGCGACGCGTGCGTGCCGCGTGTGTGTGGTGTGTGTGTGTGGGTGTGTGTGTGCGTGCGTGCGTCTATGCGTGCGTTCGTCGCGCGCCGGTGTGTGGTGTGTGTGTGCGTGGGGTGTGTGTGTGTGCGTTGCGTGTGGTGTGTGTGTGTGTGGTGTTTGTGTCTGTGCGCTGTGTGTGCATGTGTGTGTGCGTATGTTGTGTGTGTGTGTGCGTGCGTTGCGTGCGTGCGTGCGTGCGTGTGTGTGTGGTGTGTGCATGTGCGTGTGCGTGTGCGCGCGTGTGCGTGTGCGTGCGCGTGCGCGTGCGTGTGCGTGTGCATGTGTGTGCGTGCGTGTGCCGCGTGCCGCGTACGTGTGTGCGTGTGCGTGTGTGCGTGTGTGCGTGTGTGCGTGTGTGCGTGTGTGCGTGTTGTGCGTGCGTGCGTGCGTGCGGGTTAGTGTGTGGGGCGTGGCGTGTGCGAGTTGTGCGGGTGTGCGGTGTGCGGGTGTGGTCGGGCGTGCGGGTGTGCGGGTGTGCGGTGGTGGCGGGTGTGCGGGTGTGCGGGTGTGGGCGGGTGTGCGGGTGTGCGGGTGTGCGGGTGTGGCGGTGTGCGGGTGTGTCGGGTGTGCGGTGTGCGGGCGGCGGGGGGTGCGGGTGTGCGCGTGTGCGCGTGTGCGCGTGTGCGCGTGTGCGCGTGTGCGCGTGTGCGCGTGTGC